CATTAATAAAATGAAAATAATAAAAATCTTGGTAATAATTGGCACAGTTGTTGTGGTGGAACTTTGTGCACTTAAGTATCTCTACAACATGTGTTATAGAAACTTGAAAGAAAAACATGATTTATCATAGGCAATAATTGCCAAATTCTATGATGTATACCGGGAAAGGTTAACTTTAAGATTGTTACCTGCACTGGGTTACCTTTTGTCTCCACCGCCCAGACTTACTGTTAACCAGGAACCTGAAAGCTCCTGGACCTTCCCACACACCATCAACATCTTGCTGGGAAGAGAAAATAAAGCACTAAGAGACAAGCTGGACGAGCTGGAAAACTGAAGACAGCTTTCTTTTCTCTAACGTTATTAAGTTTGTTTTAGGTAGTGAAGGAGGGTACCATGGCCACCATGGTCCTAGCACTCAAGGTACTGTTGTACTAGCACTTATCCTCCTGCTCAGTGGTATTGCCTTACTCATGTATATAATATAGTGGTTGAGGGATGGTGAGTCTAACATTGTTACTGAGGCACTCAGTGTGTCTCAAGTCCCTCACCACAAGACAGATGCTATCTCCTCCAAGGTAATCCCATTCACTGTTATCCCTACCCCAGCTGACATCCACACTCCAGCTGACATCCCTGTCCCAGCTGAAATCCCTGCCCCAGCTGACATTCCCACCTCAGGTTACACTCTCACCCCAGGTGACATCCCTAACCCAGGTGACATCCCCACCCCAGGTGACATCCCCACTCCAGGTGATATCCCCACCCCAGGTGACATCCCCACCCCAGGTGATATCCCCACCCCAGGTGACATCCCCACCCCAGGTGACATCCCCACTCCAGGTGATATCCCCACCCCAGGTGACATCCCCTCCCCAGGTGATATCCCCACCCAGGTGACATCCCCTCCCCAGGTGATATCCCCACTCCAGGTGACATCCCCTCCCCAGGTGATATCCCCCACTCCAGGTGATATCCCCACCCCAGGTGAACCCCTGAACATCCAGGTGATATCCCCTACCCCAGGTGAATCCCCTCCCCGGTGAATCCCCACCCAGGGGACATCCCCACCCAGGTGATATCCCCACCCCAGGTGAATCCCCACCCAGGTGACATCCCCACCCCCCAGGGGACATCCCCACCCAGGTGACATCCCACCCCAGGTGATATCCCCACCCCAGGTTTACAACCCCACCCCAGGTGACATCCCCACTCCAGGTGATATCCCCGCCACCCCAGTGACATCACTACTCCAGGTGATATCCCCACCCCAGGTGACATCCCCACCCCAGGTGACATCCCCACTCCCAGGTGATATCCCCACCCCAGGTGACATCCCCACCCCAGGTGATATCCCCACCCCAGGTGACATCCCCACCCCAGGTGACATCCCCACCCCAGGTGACATCCCCACCCAGGTGATATCCCCACCCCAGGTGACATCCCCACCCCAGGTGACATCCCCACTCCAGGTGATATCCCCACCCCAGGTGACATCACCACTCCAGGTGATATCCCCACCCCAGGTGACATCCCCACCCCAGGTGACATCCCCGCAGCTGCTGAAAGTCTTCCCAGAAGAGGAAAAAACAATTCTTTGGACACAATTTGTGATTCAAATATCAAATTGAGAATCCAAAATTTTATAGAAAAATTCATGGATAATAACTGCTCCTTCAGCTAACAGGAATTGTTATCACTTCCCCTGTCTGGGAAATATATGGAATTTTTCTTTGAAGCTGTGTTTAATCAAGCAGGATATTATCCATATGAACACTGGCAGCTGTGTGTGCTGATGAGAGTAGTTGAAGGTACCCATGGACGCTACTAATATGAAAATCTACGCAGTAATACCCACTTCTCTCTCACTCTAAACACACAACTCTTTGGGAGGCGGGAGTGGGGGGGGGGTAACTCGTCTCTCTGGAGAAGATCAACTGCGATCAAAAATCCTGTTTTTACACCACAAATTTATTGGTGTTTTTGGTCAGACTTGCGTACGAAGGGCAGCTACATATGCAGTATATTTTGGAACCTGCAGCAGGACTGCTGAGCGCAGATGAAGAAAGGTATTCTCCGTGTATAATTGCATGTCTGAGGTACTTTCATGTATCTGCAGATCATTACGGCCGCCTACGGAAAGATGATACATAAGAAATAAAACATTTTGAAACCTTTCTTAAACAGCAACTAGAAAAGACTACATGTGAACAGGTGCGATCCTTAATGTAACTGTACTTCCTGGAAGGAAAATGTTCTCAGAGCAACACTTGTCCACCAGTAGTGAACGAGCGTAGAAGAGAGAGCAGGGGTGGTAGCCCAGGTTCCTCAGGAGGTGGTAGCCCAGGAGGTGGTTCCTCAGGAGGTGGTAGCCCAAGAGGAGGTTCCTCAGGAGGCGGTAGCCCAGGAGGTGGTAGTGCAGGAGGTGGTAGCCCAGGAGGTGGTTCCTCAGGAGGTGGTAGCCCAGGAGGTGGTAGCCCAAGAGGAGTTTCCCAGAGGAGTGTAGCCCAGGAGGTGGTTCCTCAGGAGGCGATAGCCCAGGAGGTGGTTCCTCAGGAGGTGGTAGCCCAAGAGGAGGTTCCTCAGGAGGCGGTAGCCCAGGAGGTGGTAGCGCAGGAGGTGGTACCCCAGGAAGTGGCTCTTCAGGAGGTGGTACCCCAGGAGGTGGTTCTTCAGGAGGTGGTAGCCCAGGAGGTGGTACCCCAGCAGGAAACATGAATGGGCACATCAGCGGTGGTACCACAGGAGGAAACAGGCATGGTCACTCCAGTGGTGGTACTGCAGGAGGAAACAGGCATGGGCACAACAAGGATGGTACCCAAGGAGGAAGCAGGCATGGGTACAACAGGGATGATACCCAAAGAGGAAGCAGGCATGGGTACAACAGGGATGATACCCAAAGAGGAAGCAGGCATGGGTACAACAGGGATGATACCCAAAGAGGAAGCAGGCATGGGTACAACAGGGATGATACCCAAAGAGGAAGCAGGCATGGGTACAACAGGGATGATACCCAAAGAGGAAGCAGGCATGGGTACAACAGGGATGATACCGAAAGAGGAAGCAGGCATGGGTACAACAGTGATGGTGCCGCAGGAGGACACAGGCATGAGTACAACAGGGATGGTACCCAAGGAGGACACATGCATGGCCACACCAGCGGTGGTGCAGCAGGAGAAAACAGGCATGGGTACAACAGGGATGGTACCCATGGAGGAAGCAGGCATGGGTACAATAGGGATGGTGCCCAAGGAGGAAGCAGGAATGGGTACAACAGTGATGGTACCCAAGGAGGAAGCAGGCATGGGTACAATAGAGATGGTGCCCAAGGAGGAAGCAGGCATGGGTACAACAGTGATGGTACCCAAGGAGGAAGCAGGCATGAGTACAACAGGGATGGTACCCAAGGAGGGCACATGCATGGCAACACCAGCGGTGGTACCAGAGGAGGACACATGCATGGCCACACCAGCGGTGGTACCAGAGGAGGACACATGCAAGGCCACAACCAGCAAGTGGTACCAGAGGAGGAACAATGCATGTGCCACAACCAGCAGTGGTACCAGAGGGAGGACACATGGCATGGCCACACCAGCGTGGTAAACCAGAGGGAGGACCACATGCAATGGCCACACCAGCAGTGGTACCAGAGGAGGACACATGCATGGCCACACCAGCGGTGGTACCAGAGGAGGACACATGCATGGCCACACCAGCGGTGGTACCAGAGGAGGACACATGCATGGCCACACCAGCGGTGGTACCAGAGGAGGAACACATGCAAGGCCACGACCCAGCGGTGGGTACCAGAAGGAGGACACATGCATGCCACACCATCGTGGTAAACCAGAGGAGGACACATGCATGGCCACACCACAGCGGTGGTACCCAAGGAGGACACAATGCCATGGCCCACACCAGCGGTGGTAACCAGAGGAGACACATGCATGGCCACACCACGGTGTACCAGAGGAGGACACATGCCAATGGCCACAACAGCGTGGTACCAGAGGAGGACATCACGCCATGGCCACACCAGCGTGGTACCAAGAGGACACATGCATGCCACACCAGCGTGGTACCGAGGAGGACACAGCAATGGCCCACACCCAGCGGTGGTACCCAAAGAAGAAAAGGAGAGAGAGTAACCAATGGTGGCTCCCAGGGAGTGTGATTCAATACAACAGTTCTCATAATTGACGATAAAATTATTATTATTATTATTATTTATTATTATTATCATTATTATTATTATTATTATTATTATTATTATTATTATTATTATATTATTATTAATTATATTTATTTTATTATTAGTGTCAATTACTTAAATTTGAATATGTATGTTGACATTATTTACATACTGGAAACTAAAAATGAAATATTATTTAATTCCAGCATCTTCACTTTTAAAATTCTTTAATTGAACAATCACGACACCATGCCCAGCCCTTCTAGGGCAGGAATTTGCTGACACATTGCCCGGCCCTTCTAGGGCCAGGGTAGGTGCCTGACACAATCCCCGGCCCTTCTAGGGCAGTAGGTGGCCGCGACACAATGCCCGCCCTTCTAGGCAGGGTAAGGTGCTGACACATGCCCGGCCCTTTCTAGGGCAGGGTAGTGCCTGAGCCAGAGCTTGCAGCTCACAAGACTTCATTCCCATTAGTGCCCTTGGTGGGCAGGATGGCAGAACAAGAGAGTCCTAGCTTGTGGCTAGGCCCTGGGGACAGTTGGTCCCAAAGATGAGGAGGTACTTTGTGCCGTCCTCTCCATGGGAGACTTAGGTCTCAGACACTCCTTAAAGCGGGAGCCAAGGCCGGGCCACCACTTGGAAAAGGCCCGGGCCGGGCCACCACTTGGAAAAGGCCCGGGACGGGAGAATACCAGCAAATCTTTAATATTAATAATAATTGAACCAATTCTAATATAAATAATTGATGGCCAACATTTATACTAAATTGCAATTTTGTGTGAGTGAGAATTTTCATGTGGAAAATAAAGTCATTAAAATTGTATGTAAATAGATGTCAATAATGTTAATGTTGGAGTGTCACTTATTGCTCCAGCTCCTGGACCAATTTCTGTATTACCCACAATATTGCTCCAGCTCCAGGACCATTTATCTATTACCCACAATATTGCCTCCAGCTCCTGGACCCATTATCTATTATACCCACAATATTCTCCCAAGCTCCTGGACCAATTTCTCTATTACCCACATATGCTTCAGCCTCCTGGGACCAATTATCTTATTACCGAAATATTTGGTTCCAGCCCTGTTATCAATTATCCTAATTTTTTACCCACAATATTGCTCCAGCTTCCTGGACCAATTATCTATTTACTCTCACAATATTGCTCCAGCTCCTGGGCCAATTAATCTATACTCACATATTGCTCCGCACTGGCCAATTATTCTATTACCAATACAATATTGCTCCAGCTCCTGGACCCAATATCTATTAACTCAAAAACAATATTGCTCCAGCTCACTGGATCAATTATCTTATTACTCACAATATTGCTCCACTCAGGATCAATTAATCTATTACCCCCAATTATGCATCAAGCAATAGCCAGTTCCTGGGTATAGGGGTCCACTATTACCCCACTTTAAGGGTATGAGATAACTATGGCCAGCTTCATAATTATAATGGTTTATACATCCACATTATGGTATGAGGCGAACCTATGGCCAGCTTTCTGGTATAGAGTTGGTACTGCCCACTTTATGGGTATGAGGTGACTATGGCCAGTTTTTTCCTGGGTAAAGGTGATACTGCCAACTTTATGGTATGAGGTGACTATGGGGCGAGCTTCTGGGTAAAGGGTCTCCTGCCACTTTATTGGTATGAGGAGGCTATGAACAGCTTCCTTATGTATAAGGTGACTATTACAGCCAACTTTATGGAAATGAGATGACTATGGCTAGCTTCTTAGGGCCTAGGGTTACTACTTGTCCACTTTTATGGGTATAAGGTGACTATGGCCAATTTCCTGGGTAAAGGTTACTACTGCGCACTTTTGTGGTAGAGGTGACTTTGAGGCAGCTTCCTGGTTACATGGGTACTACTGTCCACTTATGGGCATGAGGGGACTATTAAGAGCTCCTATGTATATGTTTACTCCTGACCACTTTATGGGTATGAAGTGACTGTGGCCAGCTTTATTTATACGGTGGACTACTGCCCGCTTTATGGGTTAGAGGAGACTATGGCCAGTTTCCTGATGAAGGGTGACTACTGCCCACTTCATGGGTAGAGGTTAGAAGGCCAGCTTCCTAGGTATAGAGTTAATATTGACCCCTTATGGTGGTGAGGTCACTATGGCGAGCTTCCTGGGTACAAGTATTACACTGCCAATTTATGGGCATGTTGCAACCCTTGAATGGTACAATGTATATTGAATCTATATTATTATTATATAATGTATATTAATGTATGTATTAATGTATATTACCTTTTTCATATAATTTTATATTGCTTATATTTCGGTTAATAGCTAAATCGTAAATATATTGATTTATATTATTATTTGACTTTGTTACTATTTTAGGTTAGGATGCAACATTCTATAAATATTATGTGCTCCTATATAGTTCAAGTCTTGATTGTCCTAACTACTGTAATTATCGCTTTGTGCTCGTTTCCCAGCTGGCCTTCTCTCTGATTGCTGGGCAGCAACTGACCATGGAGCCTATCACGCGACGAAAGGGGGTGTACACACCTCACCCTAAGTATTCAGTCTGGTCCTAGACTCGCTTGGTGGTTTGGACGTATTCCAGAACAAGAAGTGCCTAAATCTCCCTCATTGGCCCTTCTTGGAAGATCGTCTCTCTCTTATTATTGTTGTAGGCTCGTGGAAATTCTGTTCCAGAAACATTGGTTTAGACTTTGTGATTTTTCGACTTTGTACATAGGTTGTGTGTAGCTTAGACAATCTGAGTAACTCAGGTATCCTGAGCTGTAGCTTCTTACTTAATTTGTACGGTTATCTGGTACGTCACCAGTCGGGGATTATTCGGTAGACGGGGGAACGTAGATTCAGTAGTGGGAGTTTCGTGACTTGTGGAGGATCTGCAGATGGTCCCTACTTAGTGTCGTTATATATCTCCTGATCCTGAATGGGTGGGCGGCAGTGGCTTGTTTATATTGCTATTGGTGCTTAGCATTCATTTATGTTTCAAGCGACTGTTCTGATTGCCATCGGTCGAGAACTTAGTTTATTTTGAGGACTTTTTCAATCACATTGTTTTAAGTCAGTCGAGTCCTTGAAACATAGTGAACTACTTTAGTGCACTTACACACACAGCGCGAAACTTATTTGGTATATTGTATAATAAATGTTAATGTACCAGAACAGTACTAAGAAATATAAATGTGATATGTGATTTCAGTACAATAATAACTGTACACACGAGAGAAGCGATTATTCTTATTTGCGTTGAATATTGATTTAATAATTTAATTGATATATGCCTAGACAACTTAATTTTAATAAATTTATTAATTTTTATTTCTCTAGTTAGTTTGCCTACCAGTTGTAATCCTGAAAGCACTAATAATTCTTATTGAATTCCTAAGGATAATGGACAAGGATACTGACTAATTGTTAAGAAAACCCAGTAACAGGCTGGATACTAAAAGGGCAGTCCTTTCCCTAGTATTCACTGGAGATCTCTAAGCTTTTAGAATCACGTTTTTTGTAACAGGCATGAGGTGACTGTGCGTTGTTTTCTTGGATAACAGGGTTACCCTATCTGCTGACCACTAAGGGCATGAGGAGACTATGAACAACTTCCTATTATAATGTGACTACTGACCCAACTATTATGGGTAAGAAGTGAATATAACCAGCTTCCTGTGGTTATAGGATTAGCCCTGCCTTACCCACTTATGGGTATGAGGCGACTATGAGCATATTCCTAGGTACAGGGTTACTACAGCCCACTTTCTGGGTAGGATGTGCGCTATTGTAGATGAATGTTCAGAGAACCGCATGTTGATAAATTACACATGTAACTCTTGGTATCTTTTTTGGGGAAAAAAGTTTCCACAAAAGTGGCTTCTCAGCCATAAAAGGGGGAAAATCTTGAAAAACAGGAGGAAAGGGGGAACGTCCCTAAACCTTTGAGTGATGGGGCCCCATCAATTAATAGAAACGGCATACGTGCAAAAGGGAGCTTTTAAAAAGTTGGTAGGGAGGGCAGCAGTCATAGGTGTTCACATTTATTCAATGGGGAAAAGTGGGCGTCCCCAAAGAATAAGAAAGCGAAGTTCCCAAGTATTAAGTCCCAAAATTGCAGTGCATGTCAGACTGCGCACCTCTCCTACCAATGGTTTATAAGCCCTTTCCGACATATGCCATTTTCTTTTTCAAGATTGAGGACTGACCACATCGCTAAAGGGTTGGGGACGATTCCTCATTCCCCCTGTTCTTCAAGATTCCCTTTGTAGGGATTGATGAAGCCACTGTGTGGCGAATTTTTCCCTCAAAAAAGATCCCAAGAGTTGAATGTTCAAATTTTATCAAAAATTGGGTTCTCTGAACCCTTTCACTAAAAAACCGGTCAGACACGAAACTTTTTGGGGATCTTAATATTT